TCCCCTTCCCCCCGGGGGTGACGGGGGCGCTGGGGTGGCGCTCCCTGGTTCCGGGGCAACAGCCCTTTTTACTGCAGGGCATCCTGGCCTCTCTGCACACCCGGAGCAGCCGCGACTGAGAGCCGCCCTGTCCCTAGCCTGTGTAAGCCTGGGCAGGGCTGCAGAAGGGCCATCTGAGTGATGGAGGGCGATGCTGGCCAGGAAAACGGCTAACGACCGACTCCGAGATCCCAGGAAGTACTCACTCAACGCTCCTCCTGAGCTCCCACCCGAGCCTGGCCCGGGAACAGGTGTTTGCGGGGCCGGGCTGAGTGGGGGTAGAACCACGCTTTTAGCTCAAAGAGCTCGTTTGTTCATTCATCCAGGAGCTGGAGAGAGAGGTGACCTGAAATGCCGCGCTGACAGCAAGGGAAGCAGGACGACCGGCTCAGGGACAGGGCTCCCTCCAGTGCTTTTAAGAACCTCGGTGCTCCCTCCTACCCTTTGTCCGGAGCAAAGGTAGATCCCTGCTTCCTGGGCCAGCTGGTGACAGTAGCCAGGCAACAGATCCCCGCCCTTTGTAGTTGGCTAGGGCTGCACCAAGGAAGCACCCCAGGCTGGGCGGCTGCAGCAACACAAAGGTGCTGTCTCAGTTCTAGGCGCTGCAAGCCTAAAGTCTAGGTGTGCACAGGGATGGTTCCTTCCCAGGCCTGTCCCATGCCCTACCCTGGTTTGTAGATGTCTTTTTCGGTCTCTTCACAACCATTACCCTCATGTGTGTCCCTGTGTTCAAATTCCCCTTGTTTTAAAGACCCAGTTGTTGACATGAATCCGCTCTAATTACCTTATTTTAATGTAACTCCCTCTGTGAGGATCCTGTCTCCACATAAGGTCACATTCCGAAGGGTTAACTGAGGGTTAAGATTTCCACACAGAAGTCTGTGGAAGAAATCATAATCCATAATACCACATCAGCCCCTTCCCCGAAACACGTTAGGTATCAGTTCTTTGCAGTTATATGAGTTACCCATGCTTTCTTCCAATTTTTAAATTATTCTTTCTTTTTTTTGTTTCTCTCTCCTCTCTTTTGTGATGTCTTCTGATGAACAGAAATTCGTAATTGCAATGTAGTCAAATATACCAATCTTTAATCTTCTGCCTTTTTGTGTTTTTTTTTGACTTGTGTATTGCTCCCCAAGCTCATAAAGATATTCTGTATTTTGTCTTACAGTATTTAAAGTTTTTCCTCTCCAATTGAAGTTTCTCATGCAATTAAAATTGGTTTCCATGTATGATGTGAGGCAGGGACGCAATTTAATTTTTTTCCAGATGGCTAATGTGTTGTCTCAATAGCATTTATGGAATTGCTCATACCTGGCCGCTGACCTACAATGCTACCACTGTCATAGATCAGTTTTCATGTATGTGTGAGTCTAGTTCTAGTTCTAGTTCTCCCTGTTCTCTTACACTGATTGAATTGCCCATCCCTGTGACAATACACACTGTTCTAGTTGCAAACATTTATAAGGAATATACATATTTTTCAGTCTTATACACACTTTGTTTCTCAACTCAGATATCACTTTCTTTGGGATGCCTGCTGATATCCCCCAAGTTAAGTACATGTACACATTACATTTATTCAGAGGTTTTACTTAAAGGGTAATTATACATCTCGAACTGTACATTATTAAATGACTGACTCTTACACTAGCCTGGAGTTCCATTACAGCAAAAATCTTGTTTCCCGATGGCTTAGCACAATGACTCTCTCATAGACAACATTCAGTAGCAATCGAATGAATGAATGAATTCCTGCTTTGCAGTTTTTAGCACACATGGTAGATGATCCATAAATACCTCCTCACCTGTGAGAGAAGATTGATTCTTTTCTTCTACTTCTTCATTGTTTTGCTATGGGGCATGTGCACTGATTGTAGACAGAGAGAGAGGGAAAGGAAGAAAGCACACTGCACACCCCAGGGAGGATGGTCATGCACAATCAATCCCTTCTCCTTTCTTCTCTAGGAATTTTAGATATGCATGCACACATGCCTGGCATGTTCTTCAGGCTGCCAAGTTGAGACTGGCAGTTAGCTATGTGGGATCTAGTTACCTTAACCACCATGCCACTAACTGGTCCTTCCCCCTGTACCTTTAATTATTTTTCCTTTTTTATTTGACAGTGGACACTGGTGCTTGCCAGAGAAGGAAAACGAGGAAGACAGAGAGATAGAGAGAAAGAGAGAGAACCCCCCCCCCAAACAGTATATGGTCATGCCACAATCCCCTCTCCTCAATATCTCCTTCTTTTTGGGATTTTGGGCACACATGCACATACACCTGTCATGTTTCATGTTTCTCAAGCTGCTGTGGGCCAGAACTCAAAAAGCACTCAGTCTTGTGGGATCCGGCTGCCTTAACCACAAGGCTACAGGGCTGCCCACCAAGTCTTTCCGTCAGCGCTCTGTCCCCCTTCTTAGTTCAATTTGTCCCTACAAGACAAATCACCAAATGGCATATTACATTTTAAAGTTTATTGATTGAGTCCATGAGCGAGATAGAGAAATACAGCACCCAGATGTGCATCCCTTCTACTCGAGGGGATCTCCGAGCTTGGACCAGGGATCGTCCCATGTGGGTTTGCCTCTCAGAGCATTACATTTCACTGCGGTGTCACTGTTCTGCCTGACATACTACATACTTTCTCTATTCGTTTACACAGCATGTAATCTCTGTGAGGACAGGAAGTCCTTAGTCTGTTTTAACACCTGCAGCAGGCCCAGCCAAGAACAATGCATGGCAGTTGGTAGATGCTCCACACATATTTATTGCATGCATCAAATTTAAAAGGACACCTTCAAAGTGAAAGTCAGAAAGAAAAAGGAATTTTTTTGGTCTTATTGAGCTAGCACAAAATAAGGGTCAGATCCCAGGGCATTTGGGCAGAAACAGCAGCTTGGCCCGATGGAAATGACATGTCCTTTGTCCCAGAAAAAGTGAGGGTCTTTTACATTAGTGAAAAGGTTACACTATAGGGGTCAGCAGGTGACATAGCGATTATGTTGCTGACTTCCACATGGCTGACTGTGGTTGGAGTCTTGGACCCAGTGGCTTGAAACTCACGCCAGACACATGCGTACATCTGTTCAAGATCCTGGGAGGAGAATGGAGAAGGGATTGTGGCATGGCCATCCCCACTGGGGAATGATCTCTCTTTCTCTCTTACTGTCTTCATCTCTCTCTCTCTCTCTCAGCCAAATGCAAGTTCCATAAAGCAAAAAAAATCCAACCCCCCCCCCAAAAAAAAGCTGTTAAGCAACAACAACAACAAAGTTACAATACAATGCAATACAATACAATGCAAACTGTTCTGAAAGAGTTTACCTTGGACAAAGATAACAGAGGCGGGTATTATATAGATGGGGGCAAGGTCAGAACGGGGGTGAAAGTCCATGAGTGAAAGCTATCCGAAGTGATTAATTAACAGGGATGATGGTGCATATGCAGCAGGATGCGTGATCAGCCTAGGGAAGACCGAAAACCTGGGATTATCTTGAGAAAGAATGTGTTGGGACAGTCAGACACTTTGTCAATGGGGAACATCCATAACCGGTGGGCAGACCAGTCAGCCTTCCTCTCTTTCTCCTACATCTCTGACCCTATTTTTATTATTAAAATTTTGTATAGAAGTCTCTGTTCTAGATACACTTTATCTTCACATGTTAATGAATGGAAGAATGGCCATGTTTCATTTTCTCCCTGTGGTTCAATTAAAAGTCTTTTTGGCTTTGGAATCCAGAGGCTCCGCCCCTTCTCCTGTGGCTGTCTTCGTAGTTTGCCTCTTCCCTCCACTGTCCCTTCTCATTTTCCCTGTGTGGTTTCTCCATGTTATAAGAGAGGCAGAGCACATCATCCTTCATTAGTTCTTGGAGAAGTTAAGTGACAGGAGTTTATCTGGAATCCTAGTAATTTTTTTTTAAGTGAGAGATTTTTGCTATAAGGGTGTGCACTCACTGGAGAGACAGAAACAGAGAGACAGAATATAATGAATCACTCCCCAGGGAGGATGACCACACTGTAATCCCTTCTCCATTCTTCTCTCAGGATTTTGGGCACATATGTAGATGTGCCTAGGTGAGTTTTAAGCTGCCAGGTCTGGGACTTGAACCATGGTTGACTACACGGGAGTCCAGCGATATAACTATTTTGCTATCTGCTGGCCCCAAATGCATACCATTTTAAGCCAATAAATTTGGGATAATTTGTTACTGTATCAATAGGAAATGAATATACTGAATGGGCTATTTTTTTTTGTCTCTTAGGGCTTACTTATATAAACCTGGATTTATTCCCAAAAAAGTACTTCCTGTTACTTGGATCAGAAGTCACTGCAACTCCTGGCACTGAGAGCCTCATTTTTTAAATTGTGAGTCTCTTTTCTAATGTTCTAGGGAACATGAGCTGACCACCTGCCCCGTGGCTTCATCGCCCTGGCTCTGGTCTATCCTTTGTACATTTTGCCGGAATGTCATCCTGAACAAGAAAGTTGAGCAGGTAAATAGAGTCTACTGGGGTGAGCTGTATGAGAAACTATGATGTAGCACCCAGCCTACTCCAAGCACCTGACCACATGCGCAATGCAGGATGTTTCTTGAACAGGAGCGTCTTTGGTGCTACCTAATCAGAATGCCTCACCGAGGACTGAAGATGGGTGTAACACAATGTCAATACTTTGCTTTCTGGAATGTCATCAGCCTTGACTTGTGCAACAGAAATAAAGTTATGGGAACGTGCACAGTTCTGACAACATGGGACTTACATGGGCTAAGACATCATAAAGGTAAGAGTCTCAATATTGAGGATGATCAGAATTTGCTAGAAGTGGTCTAGTTGGGAAGACTATAAAAAAAAGCTTGCATAGTCTTATGTCTGTCATCCATCCCCCATACTGGGAATCCTCCATAAGCAGTCCGACCACAAGGCTACAGGGCTGCCCACCAAGTCTTTCCATCAGCACTCTGTCCCCCTTCCTAGTTCAATTGTCCCTACAAGACAAATCACAAGATGGTATATTACATTTTAAAGTCTATTGATTGATTCCATGAGCGAGATAGAGAAATACAGCACCCTCAACAGTGTCTCAATCCTGAGCTCCAGCCTTAGATGTGCATCCCTCCTACTTGAGGAAATCTCCGAACTTGAACCAGGAACCTTCCCATGTGGGTTTGCCTCTCAGAGCATTACATTTCACTGCGGTGTCACTGTTCTGCCTGACATACTACATACTTTCTCTATTCGTTTACACAGAATGTAAGCTCTGTGAGGACAGGAAGTCCTTTGTCTGTTTTAACAAGCCAAGAGCAGTGCCTGACAATTGGTAGATGCTCGACACTTATCTATTGCATGTGTCAAACTTAAAAAGACACCTGCAAAATGAAAGGTAGAAAGAAAAAGGACATTTTGGTCTTATTAAGCTAGCGCAAAACAAGGGTCAGGTCCCAGGGCATTTGGTCAGA